GATGCACATTGTGAAGATAAATGTTTTTTCATAAGATGGAGTCGTAAAACGGTTTAATAACATGTTTATAATACTTTCAGTTTCTATCCTCATCATGTTTTTCCTGGACGCTCTGCGAGAGATGCAGAAGTACAGCTCTGATGAGACTAAAGATGTAAGTACAAGGGCAAATTGTTGCCCTCCCCTCTGTCCCACCCCTTCCCTTTTAAAAGCTAAGGGTTAGATGCAACAGCTAGATATGTAGGCTTCAAGGATAAACACTGCATTATTTTTATCTGTTCTTCAATTTTAAATTTCAAATTGCAATTGTTGCTAGGTTTTTGTCGAAATATTCATTAGATACTCTTCAGGGACAGACGAATAGCCATCTGGATGCGCAAATGCAGACGCATATGCGTCTCTTCCGCGCACAACGGAACTTCTACATCTCTGGATTTGCTCTGTTCCTTTGCGTTGTTATTAAAACCATGGTTGGCCTAATCTCTGCCAATGCCACCCTCCAGGTACATAATCAATGCAAGCACTACTAAGATGCATCTAATTTCTGTGCAGATCCGGATCCTGGATCCGTCCTGTTGAAAATCCAGACTCATGAATATTTACTAATTTCGTTTTTCCGCAAATCTTTATGCTAAAATTGTTCATCCACAGTTTAATCAAGATTTTGCAGGGGTTTAAGTTTCCTCGATAAATCACCTCCCCCCTTTTGAAAATCATTTTTCCCCCCCATAAGTTAATTATGATTTCGGGTAAAATGTATCAAATATAATGAAAACTTTTCTCTTTTGATGCCCAATATCTCATTACCACCCCCACCCAAATTATCAAAAATAATTCCCCGCCTTCCGGGGGGGGGGGGGGGTCGGGAATTAAAAAAATATACACCCCTGAGATTTGATATTATCCCATCATTGACGCTAAAGATTTGAAGTTAAAGAACGAAAGGTGATGTTTTTTGTTGATTGATACATTGCTTATTGGATTCGGATTTATTTGGATTCTGCCAGCTACAAAATAATCATATTCATTAGCAGATCAAAGCATCCATTTCCGCAAGAATACACAAAAATCTATAATTTTGGCTACTGAGAGATTGTTAAAACTTTCTTAATCTCGAATTGGTCATTGGCACAACATATTTCAGCTTTAAAGTTGACGAAAAGAGAAGGAAAAAGATGTCGTGAAGCTATCTGAACCAAATAAAGCTGCTCAGTGCTCAATACATCTTTTTGACGCTGAGAAATAAATACAATTTATTCAGGCTTAGAAGAAGCGGCTATGAAGCAAGCTGAATCTGCTAGCCGTGCTGCTGAATTATAAATACATTTTATTAAGGCTTAGAAAGAAGCTGCTATGAAGCAAGCCGAATCTACTAGCCGTGCTGCTGAATTATAAATACATTTTATTAAGGCTGAGAAAGAAGCTGCAATGAAGCAAGCTGATTCTGCTGCTGAATTATAAATACATTTTATGAATGCTTAGAAAGAAGCTGCTATGAAGCAAGCTGAATCTGCTAGCCGTGCTGCTGAATTATAAATACATTTTATTAAGGCTTAGAAAGAAGCTGTTATGAAGCAAGCTGAATCTGCTAGCCGTGCTGCTGACTGATAAATACATTTTATTAAGGCTTAGAAAGAAGCTGCTATGAAGCAAGCCGAATCTACTAGCCGTGCTGCTGAATTATAAATACATCTTATTAAGGCTGAGAAAGAAGCTGCAATGAAGCAAGCTGAATCTGCTGCTGAATTATAAATACATTTTATTAAGGCTTAGAATGAAGCTGCTATGAAGCAAGCTGAATCTGCTAGCAGTGCTGCTGAATTATAAATACATCTTATTAAGGCTGAGAAAGAAGCTGCAATGAAGCAAGCTGAATCTGCCAGCCGTGCTGCTGAATCCTTGATGAAAGGGGGTGGAGAAGCTTCTGAGGATTCGGCTGAGGGAAAGAAATTGAAGGAACATATTGCCAAGGTCTAATTTCGTTTTAAATGGGAGGATAGTGAACATTTTGGTTGGGTTTGTGATTAATGGATTTATTTTCTATTTTTAACGGATATATTGGCTGTTTTTGATGATTGGGTTGAATGTTGATTAATCGGTTGATTTAAATATTAATGGCTGATTTTTTTTATTAATTGTGGATTTATCTATTGAGTATTTATGATTACTCATTGGATTGACAAATCAAAATTGATTGTTGATCGATGGCTGAGTTATCTATTGATGTTGTATTGATGGCTGAGTTATCGATTGATTTTGTATTGATGGCTGAGTTTTCGATTGATTGATGTTTGATTTTTGGATGATTTAACGATTTATGGTTGATTTATCGATTGAAGGTTGATTTTACCATTGATGGTTGGTTTATGAATTGATGGTTATATTTTGATTGGTGTTATGTTCAACGATTGATAAAATTGATTTGATGGTTTATTTATTAAAATATTGCACAGCTGGAGAAAGAGTTGAGCGCTGCCAATAAGAACGTTGAGTCAATGAAAACCCAGTCCAAGAATCTAACTGTAGAATATGACAGGTAACAACCCCCCCCGGCCCCCCTTGTTACCGACAGGTACCAAACCCTCTCTCGTCCTAATATTCTTACTTGTTTTAGCAACAAACCGAATGTAATTAGAATAATGACAATGTTCAACATTTTGCTGTGTTTTTCTTATTTTCCTCTACGGCTTCAGCAGCTCTAGTATTACAAACATAAATTAAGACTTAAATATAGTGTTACGTGAGAAAATACAAATTAAGAAATTATTTTAAGATTTGGTGGAGGGGGAGGGAATAAGCCTTTTTAAATCATGTCATTAAGACTCATTAGATAATAAAATTCATTTTAGATCCCTCTTTAATCATAGCGGCCAATAGTATGATATGGTAAATTTTTGCTAAATGCTTACGTGAATGGTTTTCAAAGTTTTGTTTTTCCGGAATTGGAAAATAATTTGTAAATTCTCGGGTAAATAATTAGAAAGAAGGGAATACTTTCTACTTAATGTCCAAATCTTAATTCCCCCCCACATTTCTTCAAAGTTTATTAAGATACATTATTTGTAGGTTGATGGAGGAGAAGGACAAGCTGGAGAGGAAGGTCAACATCATGGGGGAGAAGAAGGATGATTAGATCAAGAAGATTGACAACATTAAAGGGATTGTTCACTTGGTTTCTTGAAATTATAAAGATTTATTTAAAAGGAATATTTCATGATTTCTACGACATTAAGTTTGTTTATTTCCGACATCTTTAAATGGTCAAATTTGCTAATAAATGGAAAGTTATGTTAAATAGTGAACTATCCCTTTAAAAGAAGACTAAATTTACTAAGCTTGCTTCTCTTTCAACCCAGACCTTTTTTAAATATGAATGAAAGTATGAGAGGAAAGTTCTTTGCGGACATTCTTTAATTTTTTTTGGTTTGTTTCAATAAACATTATTTATTTTCAAAATTTATAAAAATTTGTTTTAGAAAATGTCAAGAGCTTTAATTAAATGTAGATTCTAAAATGTGTGCTGCTCTCAAATTAGATTCCACTCATACTCATGAGTTTACCAAATTTTATTTTGTTTTCCAGTAACCCTTTTCTAGTTGATTGATTGATTGATTAAATGATTTGTGAATGTTATTTTTGGCGGCTCTCTAGTACTCATAAATATTATTTTAATCCCGAGCTTTAAATTAGAAAAGATAAAAAATAAGATTTCAAATAGCATTAGGGGTTTATTTTGTTCAATATTTATATAATTATATATTGATATAAAATCTTGGATTTTTTGGGTTAATACCCAAATGAGAAAAGCTTGGATGAAATCATGAATATATACACACCCCTGAAATTTGAAATTCTTGAACTTTTATGTGGTATGATTGTGCTCCACCCTACTAAATTATTTTAAATATTAACGGTTAAATAACCCTAGATTCATCCTATAAATAAAATATTTTAGTTTTAAAATTGTATTTCCTCCTAAAATTTATAAATTTATAACACTTTTAACGCAATTTAAAATGTAAAATCTGGACTTTTTATTCTTGTTCTGTTAGTTCTAGGATCCTAAATTTTAAGTTTTTTTTCAGAAAAGATGGCGGATAAAGAGTTTGTAAAAAAGAAAAGAGAGTATAGTGAGACGGACTGGACCACTGTACATGTATCAAATGTTCCTTTAGGAAAATATAATTTTTGCTCATAAAACAAGAAAATGTTCTCAAGATTGTTTTGTCATTTTAAAATTTTTTTTCCACCTCAGAGGAACAAGGACTCGTAAAAAGCTTGTAAATTATTTAGTTGTAGAATGCAGACTAAAAAAAGTTTCCGGACATTTCTAATATTAAATAAATATCAATGCCTGAGGAAAGGATTTGTTTGTATTATTCTTCAATGCATACGCTTACTTACTATTCATTTTTTTCTCTTTTTAAATATCTATGATTCATCTGATAAAGGAATTATCAGAATACTGTAACGCAGTGCAATGCTTAGGATCCGGATCCGTTGGATCCGTAAGATTTTGGCTTCCTGGATCCGGACCCGTTTAAATATGCGGATCCACGGATCCGGATCCAAGGGGGGGGGGCAAAATATTACTCTCAAACCCCAAATTTGAACTATCAAAAAAAAGAGAGATTATAAAAATTTCCGGATTTCTGAATGGTTCATCAAGTTTTAGCATAAAAATAAGCGAAAAATATAAGAAAAAAGTTTGAAAATTCTGATTTGTAAAAAAAAATTGGTGAACTTTATGGAAATAACCTGGATCCGATCCGCATCCGCATAAAAATTAAATGGATCCTAAGCACTGCTTTAACGAAAAACAGATTCTTCGAACACTGTTAATTTTAGATTGATAGTTACTAAGAACAGGGTTTTATTTTTGAGCCAAAAAATTATCTTTATCAGACACTCATAGAGGACAACTTGAAGCCGCTTTCTCCGATGTTGGACCGATAAAAAAATGTTTTGTTGTAAAAGGTATTTTTTTCTCGTCGCACCTTAGCTGTTTAGTGGTCAGTCTTTTTCGCTGTGATTTTAAGGGGAAAATGTATAAAAAGGATGAAAAACCTTTGATGTCCAATGGAAGAGAGGAAGATAAACGGCATGCACTGCAAGACTGAACGTATTCCTATTAATAACATTGTTCTGATCTATGTGTGCTTAGAACTCAAGTCATTGCGGGGATATTTTTAAAATCATTTAATTACTATCTCTTCGTCAATTTTCATTATTTCACCGGAATTCAACCAATCAATAGGTTTTAGTTTAGAAACTTAAAGGGAATGACCGGCTAGACATGATAGTTAAGCTGAGAGTGCGGTGTTGTAAAGTAAGTTATAGAATTAATTTAAAACCTAAATGATGTTTTTACGGTTGTATATTTGCTAATGAAGAGCACAAGTAAGATCTTCAAAATTTTCCTGGACTGTCCTTATTAAAGGAATTGAAATTTTTTAAAAGTGATATAAGAACGACGACAAAAAATGTAACAAAAATTTTACAGTAGATTAATAATAGCCGGTCACTCCCTTTAAAATTTTCGTGGATTTTATCAAACACGTGTCTTGATTAGGGAGACCTGGGAGTACCAGCACCATCGGTTTTGTCACCTTTGCAATGCACGGGGACGCGACCGCTTCCTTGAGCAGAAAAGATCTTAGGATTGGGGAAAATTTTCTTAAACTTAAACTTGCACCCAACACCAAGCTAAAGGACAGGAAGGGAGGGAAGAAGAAGGTGGAGGAGGAGGTAGAGGGGGATGTGAAGGAGGTAGTGGTGGGAGGGTTGAAGGAGGTGGGAGGAAGGAAGGTGATTGAGGAGAAGGGGAAGATGAGAGGAAATCCACGAAAAGCTCGACTTGTCGTCAGAAATTTGTCTTTTAAATCAACAGAGAAGAATATGCGACAGACTTTTAAACAGGGAACATTCTATTCATATGTTCTAAGGTTTATTTAATATTACTACTTAAATTGATAACCCATCTTCGCCCTTTATGTTTACTACTGTGTAGTGTTTTTTTTTTTTTTACGTTTTTTAACATTTTTGTAATCTTTAAAATGAGTATTTCTATACCAAGTATTAATTATTTAAAAAAAATTTTGTTCTGAAAGTTTTAAAATCCTGTAAGTAAAGTTACAATTAAATAATTTTATTTTCTTTGACGAAATTGTTTAAAATATTTAGAGAAAATACTAAATGTTTTTACCTCTTTTTAATACTTTTCCTCATATTAAGTAATTTCCCTTAAAATAAAAACAAAAATTTTAAACTTTTGTGACTTAAATATACGTTAATTGAAAACTCCAATATTTCCAGCGAATACGAATGTTTCAACTAGTTTGGAGAAATATCAGAGATAAATATTCTGAAGAAACCTGATGGGAAACTGGTCGGCTGCGCCTTTATACAATATACTAATCCAAACCATGCAGCTAAGGTGAGGAGCAGTGGGGGTGGGGGTGAATAAAAACATTTTTGGAACAAATTTTATTCTGTTAAAAATCTGTAATTGCCAAAAACAATTAAAGATGTAAAATAAAGCTTTTGTTCTAACTTCTAGGCGATCAAAGAGTTGAACGCTAAGGATTTCCTCGGTCGACCGATAGCCGTCGATTGGGCTGTTCCTAAGGAGGTGTTCAAGGAGACCAAGGAAGATGTCAAAGATGAGGTTAAAGAAGAGCTGGATGAGGTCAAGGATGAACCTGAAAGCGAGGACGACGAGGAGGAGGTTAAGAACGAGATTAAAGCAGAGGAAGATGATGAGAGTATGGATGACGAAGATGACGATGATGAAGATGATGAAGATGATGAAGACGATGAAGACGATGACGATGAAAGAGAACAGAAACCAAAAGGTATATATAAAATATATGAATCTTCAATTTGGTTCTTTTATGATTATTATTTTCTCCGTCTCGATCATTCTTTGTCGTATTTGCGAGAAGTGACAATATTTTTTTACTCATATGGTTAAAATACACAATTTTGAGAGAGAGAGGAAGGGGGGGGAGAAATCTCTTATATTAAGTAAATTTTCTTGTACAAGAGGCAAAAATTAATTTCCCATTTAAGAGGCCCGGGGGTTAAAAAATATATATCCCTGAGAAATGCACTGAAACCATAATCAAACAAATTCATAATTTTGTGTTAAGTTGCCCACAACCTGTCTACCGGGCATGATATTGATGAGGGGAAAACGGTGTTTATCAAGAATCTGGCATACGAGACAGACGAGGAGGATCTTCGGTTAGTCAAACTTTTTTGAAAAGGACTGTAGACGTAATTTTTACAGTTTCACGTTCAATTACGAATGGTACTCTGCATGCCTTTTTTTTAGTAAGAATATGGACAATTTGGCGTGTTCTTGATCAAGTCAGACAAGGTTTAGAAGGCACCATATTAAATCAAACCTGCCTCCCAATAAATGGAGGGTCACTTAACATCGCCAGTCCCTTTAAGGAACTATACTATAGTTTATAGTAGGAACTATAAATTTCTCGAGTCAGGAACATCAGATTGACGTCTTATAGGTATCGTTCAAAGCCTGAGATAGGTTATATTCTTTACCCCCTTTAATTTTTCCTTTATAGTCCTTTTAAGGCGTGTTTTCATTAAAATATATCCTACAAGTCATGGTACTTTGTCTGTTGGTTAATTTTTAATTATCATAATATCAATACCCTTTTCTTATGACGATAAATTAATATAATTTAATTTATTTAGAGAAATATTGTCTGTTGGTCAATTATTAATTATCATAATATCAATTTCTTTGTCTAATGACGATAAATTAATATAATTTAATTTATTTAGAGAAATATTGTCTGTTGGTCAATTATTAATTATCATAATATCAATTTCTTTATTAAATGACGATAAATTAATATAATTTTATTATATTTAGAGAGATGATGTCCGAACTATTTGGTCCTGTTCACTTTGCTAAGCTAGTACTAGATAAAGTCATGCAACATCCAAGGTTTTATTCTTTTCATCTCTTTCTTCAAAATCTGTATTAGTTTAATATTCAGTTCTTGAGACTCTGTAGTCTTTTTTATTCCCTGTTTTTTAGTGTTTGCAGCAGTTTTTGTAGAAATAAGTTCTTTTTTGGGAGTCTTTTTTTACTCTTTCTTTATGCTCGTTCTTTAAACCCTTGCTTCAAAATCGGCAGTCTTTTTTAATCCTTTGCCATTTTTGTTTTTCAGAATGGATGAGTTGAACATTTCTTAAAATAGAAATATTTTTTAAAAATATCAAAGAAAGTTTTTTATATGTGTTAGATGATTTGTTTAATGTTACTGAGAAGCCGGTTTTGATTTTTGATTATTCCAGAATAACCGGTTTTAATTTGTTAATTATTTCAGAGAAACCGGTTTTAATTTTTTGATTATTCTAGACGAATCGGTTAAAAAAAAAATTAAAACATTGATAGAGATAGGGCTAAAATACCCGAATGTGGCAATACTTAAAACTCAACTGCTCATTTAGGAGCCTTAAGCCATTCCTGCAAAATGTAATTTGTTTTGATTTAATTTGTTTGTTATTTCATAGGAACCGGTTTTAATTTGTTTATTATTTTAGAGGAACTGGTTTCAATTTGTTTATTATATCTGAGGAACCGGTTTTAACTTGTTTATTATTTTAGAGGAACCAGTTTTAATTTGTTTATTATTTTAGAGGAACTGGTTTTAATTTGTTTATTTTTTCAGAGGAACTGGTTTTAATTTTTTTATTATATCTGAGGAACCGGTTTTAATTTGTTTATTGTTTCAGAGGAACCGGTTATAATTTGTTTATTATTTCAGAGGAAACGGTTTTAATTTGTTTATTATTTCAGAGGAACCGGTTTTAATGTGTTTAATATTTTAAAGGAACCGGTTTTATTGTGTTTAATATTTCAGAGGAACCGGTTTTAGTTTGTTTATTATTTCAGATGAACCAGTTTTAATTTGTCTTATTATTTCATAGGAACCGGTTTTAATTTGTTTATTATTTCAGAGGAAACCGTTTTAATTTGTTTATTATTTCAGAGGAACCGGTTTTAATGTGTTTAATATTTCAGAGGAACCGGTTTTGTTTTGTTTATTATTTCAGATGAACCAGCTTTAATTTGTCTTATTATTTCAGAGGAACCGGTTTTGTTAAGTTTGTGAATGCGGAGGACGCGGCAAAATGCGTCGAGGTCTCCCAGGGAAAGGATGGAATATTCTTGGATAAACGTCAACTAAACTGCTGTATAGCCATCAAACAGGGTAATATTGTCTTTGTGTGCTTTTTTATTTGCTTTAAATTCAACAGAAACCTTAGCAAAATCAAACTATGTCAGATCCTAAACTAATTGAATTAGTGTGCAATTACAGCTTTCTAAAGCTTTGCAAAAATAGCATTCAAACTTTTTTTTTTGAAAACCAAAAAATATATATTAATATTGAATAAACTTTTATTCATTATTTATGATTCATATATTTGTGACAAACATTTCATGCTGATTAATTATTTTTTATGTCTATGCTCCTAAAGTTGAATAAAATGAACTTATGGAAAACTAATACATAGTTTGGATGTTATTATATATATATATGAATATAGATTAAAAAGCTGACATATTGACCGGTNTTTGATTTGGTTTGATTTGGTTTGATTTGGTTTGATTTGGTTTGATTTGGTTTGATTTGGTTTGATGTGGTTTGATGTAGTTTGGTATGATTTGGTTTGGTTTGAATTGATTTGTATTGATTTGGTTTGTTTTGAATTGATTTGTATTGGTTTTGTTTGGTTTGATTTGTATTGATTGATTTGATTTAATCGATTTGATTTGGTTTGATTAAGGCTGCCGAGGGTGTGAGTGGAAGTGATCTAGAGAAGAGAAAGGAAGTGGAAAGACAGAAGAAGAATATGTTGAAGAGTTTAAATATGTTTGTGTCGGATACTAGGTATGCTAATCAACAATTAATCAACTAATCAATTAATCAACTAATCAATTAATCAACTAATCAATTAATCAACTAATCAATTAATCAACTAATCAATTAATCAACTAATCAACTAATCAACTAATCAATTGGTCAACTTATCAACTAATTAAGTTATTAAATAATCATTTTATCAGCCAATCAATTTATCAACTTATCAACTAATTAAATTAACTTAGGAATTTATTATCTAACCAATCTTATCTAATAATTAAGTTATCAATTAATAGATTATTTAATTAAATAATTTATTAACTAAACAATCTTTTAATTAATAAACTTATCAATCAGTCTATTTATTAACTTATCAATGAATCTAATGAATCTATTACACTGTGCTATGAATCGACCCATAAGGTCGCCTTTCTGTAACTGAAAAACGACCTTTACAATAAGTTGTAAGATGGTAAGGGCCAAGGGGTGTTAAAATTCGTTTTTGGACCTTTTCTCAATATTCGATTTTTTAGGACCATTTTCTGAGACACCCTGTAAGTTGTGATTTAAAAAAACTGATTTGAACTGGTAACCATAATACAACTTATGGTGAAGGTTGTTTTTAGTTACACAAAGTCGACCTGATGCCGGGTCAATTCGTAGCACAGTGATTAATTCATAAACTAATCAATTAATCAACATATCATCTTATACAATATTTAGCTAAAGAATTAATCAACTAACAAATCAATTATTAACTAATCAACTAATTAACTTATTCAATATTTATTGTTCAATAATGGCTAATAATTGATAAAGTATTCATTAAAATACTTGATAAATCAATCAATTTCCCTCTCAAAATATTTATCTTCTCCCACTCTTCCCACCTTATCTCCCCTGTAAAAAGTCTGCCCTCTATCGGAAATATGTTCTATTCTTACATGTTTAGATTGTGTGTCCGAAACCTGCCTGTAAGTTGGGATGATAAGAAATTGCGGAAGCTATTTTTGGAGAATGCTCCTTAATTATTAATTANTTATCTTTTAACTCTTGCTTCTTAAGTCGGCATTTTCTGAACATCAGTTTGTGTGGAGTTTTCTGTGACAAAAATGCTGCATTTTTTAAAGCTATAAATGTCAACATATTTTTTCGGGCAAATTTTTTCAACTTCGGTAAGCCATTAAAGAGGCCGGGGGAGGGGGGGGGGTGCCTGGAAGCGCCAATCCCTTTCTAACCGAAACACCTGGTTTTCAATTAATAATATTGATAATTTTATAGATAATAAGAGACATGAAACAAATGGAGAATGGAGTAGGACGGTCCAAACAGTTCGGCTTTGTAGCTTTCAATAAACATGAAGATGCTCTAGGTAGAAATCATTAATTATTATTCAAATTGGGTTTTATAAAACAAGGACAACCCTCAAGGAGTAAGACTTTAATGACAACCTAAAACTCTCAAGATTTTATTTATTTTTCTGAATTAAAGGTCGTCATCCCAACCTCACTCTTGAGGGAACCCCTGCTAATAAAGTTGTGACGTTATTTTAATTTTGTTTTTATTAAGCTGCTTTACGGAATATAAACAACAACCCCGAGATATTTGGAGCCGAGCACAGACCTATTGTAGATTTCTCAATTGAGAATAGGAAAGCAGTCCAGGCCCGGCAGAAGAGAGAAGAGAAGAGTAAACAAAATAATCCAAACTTCAAGGGACGGAAGAATGAAAATCCAGAGCGTCCAGCACACAAACACAAAAAGTTGGACGGCGAGAAACCGGTTAAAACCGGGTTCACTGGAACCATTTCCGATCCCAAGGTGAAAACGCTTCCTAAACATTCGGGTCCGAAAATCCGCCACGACGCCCCGAAAATTACACGAAAAGATCTACGGAAAAAGGAGCAGGATCGGAAAAATCCGAAAAAGCGGCAGCGTCTTGAACCTCTTCGCTCAGATCCAGAGCAGCCGAAACAGAAGAAATCGAAAACAAATCCAGAAAGAGCATCGAAGGCGGATAAGAAGGATGAGAAGGAGAACAAAGCATTTGATAAGCTTGTGAATCAGTACAAAAACAAATTTGCAGATAATCAACAAGTTATTAAAAAATGGTTTGAAACGTGATTTTTTTATTTCAGAAATATGTGAGTTGTGGTTGTTGTGGATGTAGTGTAGTGAATTGTAGAATCAAGATGAGTGAGAATATAGAATGTGTAGTCGAGTATGAATACTCAGCTGAACAACCAGACGAACTAACATTAAGGTATTTTAAAATACTTTAAATAAATATAACATTTTTTTATCTTTTGGGTCCTCTTAGCAAAACTTAAAGAATGTATATTTCACTGAAGCAGGGGGTAAATGTTTTCTAGAAAATAATTTACCATGCGGGGTACCGTCCCTCATCTCAAAGTTTTTTTTCCACATTCCCCATGCACTGATTTTCTTGAAATCAAAATGATAAAAGGGGTTCTTTTTATATTACTTTATTGCCCAGGTTACTCATAGTTACTCTCACTGGTTGCCCGCTCTAGGCCTTAAATTACGATTTTAGCTAATTTTTTTAGCCATTATATGTCGACCCTCTCAACTTAGAAGCGCAAAACCAAGCTAAGAACACTTTAAAACCTGGTGAAGAACATTCTCGTGCTTCTCCCAAGTTCCTTAATCAAAAGTTGAGACAAATCAGTCCTGTATTCATGAGTTATGATCGGACATACAAACAATCAAACAAACAAACACAGAGATTACTAGTTAAATTTTTCAAAATGATTTGATGAATGAATGTCCAGGGTTGGAGACGTGATCACTAATGTTGATAAGTTGGAAGGAGGTTGGTGGAAGGGAACTCTACGCGGTATTACAGGGATGTTTCCTGACAACTTCGTCAAGGTAGGAGATTGATTGATTGAATGATTTATTGATTTATAGATTGATTGTTTGTTTGCATGATTGATTGAAATATGAGAATTCCAAAACCGTATAAAGAGGTGATTGTATAGTATTATGCAGTTCCTTTAAAAGTAAACCTAAGTTAAGTTTTCCATTGTATTTGCTGTGCAAATTGATTCGTGTGTTTAAAGAGTTGGGTATTTTTTCATATTTAAGAAAAAATCTTTTCATAAAAAAAATGTATAACCTCCCATTTTAGATTCATTATACTGAAATGTTTCTATAGATACATAAAACGATTAATTTGAACTAACTAGATAAAAGAATTAATATAATACACTCACAAATTTTGAAACTAAGTATTTTTAGGTTTAATGGCTGGAAATGTCAGGTTTATATATAATCTCTACCTGGGTTTTTATACCAGTCCTCTATCTTACTACAATACGGTTAATAAGTGGTTTGATGATTTGTAAACAAGAGATGTAGCAGAACTAGCTACAGCTATCTCAATCAGACTAATTCATAAATCCCAACCAGTGCTGACTTGTTTCAAAATAAAATCTGTCTTTTCTTTTCTAGTTTTCTTATTTAATTTTGACACCAGTGATGTAGTCCCCCCCCCCCTAGATTTTAAAAATCATGTTTTACATCTTTAGAAAATCTATTTAAATATGAAATTTTAAAAAATAATATTAACTTGTATTTATGAGGGAAAATTCATAATTTCATAAAAACGAATTCTGTCCCTTAAAAATACAAAACTTAAACTGATAAGAAAATGATGAAACCCAGGCATGCTCACCAGAAGTCCCGAGCCTAATCTAATCTAATAACATATGTTTTTTTGAAACCTTTTATCTTAATTTTTGTTAATTAATGTTTTGAATATTCTACAATGTAAAGCAAGACATGAGCATTGTTTCCTCAGCAGTGCTTAGGATCCGGATCCGTTGGATCCTCAAGATTTTGGCTTTCTGGATCCGGATCCGGATCCGCAAAAATATGCGGATCCAAGAAATCGGATTCAAGGGGTAAAATATCAACCAAAAATTGCAAAAATAACTCTTTTACTCCTAAAACCCAACTCTGAACTTTTGAAAAAAAGAGAGATTATAAAAATTTCCTCATTTCTGAATAGTTCATCAAGTTTTAGAATAAAAATAAAAAAGTAAAACAAAAAATTCGAAAATTATTTTTTGTAAAAAAATTTCAGTATATATTGAAGAAATGCCCTGGATCCGGATCCATTTTTTTCAGTGCGGATCCAGGATCCGGATCCGGATCCGCATCAAAATTAAACGGATCCTTAGCACTGGTTTCCTGAACTTTTTTATGTAAAATAATGCTAACTAATACAAAATTTTAATCTTATAAAATGTCCTAAAAATTGTGAAATTGTGAAATTGTTATCACTCTAATAAGTGCCCAATGCCCATTTATGAATTCCATTATGAAATGTCCAATTTATGAAACTTCCAACTACTAACTGTTCTTACTTATAAAGTTTATCTATGAAAATTCTTTCTAAGAAATATCCCCAACACCACACCATGGTGTGTATGGTAGAGTTAGAGCCAGGTGTGCTCAAGCCTGGGGAATCCAACCTATATCTCCTGAATCCCTACCCAGGTTTCTACCCAGCTCTCCAGACTGGTCGGTACACTCAGCAGATCCTAACCTTCAAGGGGCAAAGACGTCGCCTCATAGGGAACAGTGCATGTGGGTGCACTATTATTTTAAACATCAAAATTATTCAGGGAAATTTTTTAAAACATACCATGTCCTTTCTTTTTCTACCATCTCTTTGCATGAGCTAATGAAAGTGGGACTTAAGTAAATAGGGTAAAATACCCCCCCCCTTAAAATATCACCCATATTCCTAGCTCTAGCTGTAGATCTCGTCCTGTGCCCTGGAATAAGGAAGAAGGGTCCTCCAGTATACCTTCTTTTTCTCCGACCTCTAACATCGGGCCATCAATTTCTCCGACTTCAAACCTCAAACTTTCCCTTTCTCCGATCTCTAACCTCCAACCTTCCCCCTCTCATAGCTCCTCCTTCTCTTTCCAAACTCTACACTTAGGGGTACATAATTTAAGTTAATTACACATATGTACATCTAAGGTTAAAACCAGTGCTTAGGATCCATTTTATTTTGATGCGGATCCGGATCCTGGATCCGCACTGGAAAAAATGGATCCGGATCCAAGTCATTTCTTTAAGATTCACTGATTTTTTTAACAAAAAATAATTTTCAAATTTTTAGTTTTATTTTTATTTTTATCCCAAAACTTTATAAACCATGAAATTTTTATAATCTCTCTTTTTTTCAAAAGTACAGATTTTGGTTTTAGGAGTAAAAAAGTTTTTTGCAGTTTTTGGTTGATATTTTATCCCTTGGATCCGCATATTTTTGCGGATCCGTATCCAGGAAGCCAAAATCTTGCGGATCCAACGGATCCGGATCCGGATCCTAAGCACTGGTTAAAACTGTTGACTGAAAAAGCGCAATTACTTTAAAACTTAACTTGATGTCCACATCTGATATTTTAACCTCTGAAATGAAAAGAAATCGGTTGACTGCCATGACCTCCAATTGGTTTATAGACAAAATTGGCTGAAACCTGTCCATATTATCAGGATATAGGTTATTTGTGTATTTTTTCTTATTTTTTTAATTATATTTGCTTAAAATATATATCCTGCTCCAACCTACAGACTCATAGAGATAGAGGAAAATTTTTATCATGGTTTAACATCTGCGGCTGCCTGCCTAAACCTAGACAGGAAAGGCAGGTAGGCGGGGAACACAAAGGACAGGAAATTGGAGGACAAGAAGGACAGGAAGAGACTAAAACTATGAGAGGAAAGAATACTGTATATTCTCGTATTATAAAGGTGACCTACACCCCGGAACCACCAAAAGAGCTGAGAGTTTATCCAACAGAAACTGAACTTAAGTTTAGTATTTGCTATTTAAGTGGAGTAAAATATGGACTTAATTGCAGTAGTAGAGGATTAAACTCTGCACTCTTGATTAGATCACTGTTCACTGTTTAGATTTAACAAAAGAATCATCTGATAAGAGTAAAACAAAGCAATATGCACAATGCACAAATACACTCTCCACAGACATTTATCATTACAAAGAAAATTTTTTTTTATTTACTCGCGGCATTACTTGTTACTATTTTTATGTTATCAGCTATAGTTTTATGTTACATGTTGCTGAACCATGATATTACATCCTTTCGTCCATTATTGTTTATTAATTAGAATATGAATTTCACAGGTTTACAAACATTTTTTTGTTTTAAAAGATTGATTGTTTTTTTGTAGTAATGCCAGAAAGGTTTTTGGATTGATACACTTTAATCTTTTTTTTAGTTCACTAGCTTGGGAGCCCAGACTTGCCATGAATTTTCTCTGTAAAAGTCAACCTACTTTATTTTTAATTTTGCCATGAATTTTCTCTTTAAAGTCAACCTACTTTATTTTTAATTTTTAAAACTAGTAAAGAACATTCTTGTTGCTCTGCCGAGTTCAAAATGTGAGACAAATCGGTCCAGGTGTTCATGAGTTATGCTCGCACATTCAAATAAACAAACAGACAGACATGCAAACATTGATTACTGCTTTATCTTTTTTAGTTATTATGTACACACCACACATGTTAGGTTTATTGAGTAAAGAGTATACAAGGGTGAAAGCAGGAACCGTACTTCCTGCATCAAATTAGTCCACTGCTAAATTTACACTCGAGTTCAAATATTGTTAATTCTTTCATTCAGTTCGTTTCATACCGCCCCTCTATTCATTTATGTAATATTATAGTGGTCCTAAATAACTATTTTTTTTGGTTCGCAGTGTTTTAAAGTTTTTGGACAGAAATTTTCTCTTTATCGAGAAGGTTCAAGCCTTTTTAGATTTATTATCTAAAAAGGCGAGAACCTTCGAGATATAGAGATTATTTCTGGCCAAAAACATTGCACCACGTCGTGCCAAAATAGTAGTGGTATACTCTCTAATTTAAAGTGTTATATTGCCTGTTTACTATGATACCCTTCAAACTTTTATCTGAGTAGGAGTCAATTTCCTCCTTTAATTCTGCTGTTTAAAACCGTGAGTTGAAAATGATCAATATTTAGAAAGACGTACAAGGATTGGAAGATTTAAAAGCTATAAATACATTTTTTAAAGTGTAATATTGGATATATAGAATATAACGGGACAACCTTTGTTATTTTGCTTAGGAAAAGGTGTTATGGTTATTGTTGTGAATCAGGTCTTTAAATGGAGAGTAACTTAAAATTACATGGTTACTTTTAAGCAAGGTTATAATACAAGGAAAGTTAATTGCAGTTGCGTATACTCTGCCTACATATTGAAACCAGTTCTCTCTGGCCGAAATTTGTAAACAAGAATAGATGCATCAATGTTCGTTTAGTATCCGAGGTGGTTATAAGCATTACATTTTGATAGTTTTGATAATTCACAAGTTTCTTATGACCAGAATATTTCATTGATTTTTTATGTGAAAGATGGATCCCATGCCAGGCTTCGATATCCGTCTTGTGTTTACATTACCGCTCAGAGACAGTACACTGCAGCACAACAGATGCGCACACCTCTGAAATAACTTTCCTTGCATTATAACCTTGTTTTTAGGTAAGCAGGACTAGAATTCAAATTTTTAAGTAAAAATATAATTTATACGTTGAATAATGTTAGATAAAGTATGGTGGATATAAGACAGTATTGAAAGGGTGTGGTACTTGGTAAAATGGGAGTTACCAGTTCCACTGAAAGAGTTTATACAGTGAATAATAAACAAGATTCACCGCCCAACTGCCAGGGATATTATACTTACATTTAGAAAGTATTCTATTTACAACACTAATATTTTGGTTCGCAGTGCTGTAAAGTTTTTGAACAGAAATTTTCTCTTTTTTGAGAATGTTCAAGCTTTTTTAGATTTTATTTTAATTTAATCTAAAAGA